TGGGGCGATAACTGCAAAGTAAGGTTTATGGCCTCACTGGGGTCCATTCACAGGCTAAATTTTCACTCTTCCTTCTGATCATCATAATCCCCTTAGTTAAAATGAACCAGAACTAAGCCCATTCCCATCATTTTATTCATCATCACTGGATCATGGGCCACTGTGCTTGTCATATCTCTAGACATTAGCACCAACTTGCACGTAGTGTCTAGTAATCCTTGAAAGGCCTCACCCAGCACTCTTTGGGAGAATTTTCCATGATGTTGGAAATGTTCTATATCTGCATTGTCCAGTATGTTCACCACTAGTCCTATTGAGCACTTGAAATGTGACTGCTGTGGCTTGAGGAACCACACTGGTATAATTGGTTTCAATATGGTGTAAATAGCCAGGAAACTGAATGAAAAGTGATGACTCTCTTTTGGGTAACTCAAATGCAATTTTTTCTCCTCACCATATTAGAGTTTTTCGGCTATGTCTACCACTAATAATTCTGAATCATCCTACTTCACTTATAAAAATTAAAGATATTTGCAACTTGTCTTTAGTCTCTGCAAGGGCAGCACTCAGGTCAGACATCTGGAATTTAAATCCTTCAATACTCTAACTTAAAGCATGGGCAGTTTAGCAGGATTCTCCTTCTGTGGCACACCCTGGACTCTAAGTTTTGGTCCCTAGTCTAGCAAGGGTGTCAGGAATTCTGCTCAGCAACTTAGCCTTTCTGTCTCAGCAGACGTTACATGAACCCTTTTTGGTTTCCTCCTCCTCCTAAATCTTGGCCCTTAAATTGTTCACAGCTTGTTAGTTCCAGATGCCTTGAAGAAGATTGCTTTTAATATATATATTTTGTCTGATTTTCTAGTTTATACTCAGGGGAGAGCTGGTCCACATTATTTAGTCTGCAGTACCATAAACCTTTCCATTTATTTTGGCCAGGTGCCATGGGGCACCTCAGTACAGAACCATTTTAAAACTAAACTAGCTAGATATTTCCTCTGATGGTACAGACTTAGGCTGTTGTTGGCAAGAGGACTAGTCTGTCCTCCCCCGCCCCCCACCTTCTCTGCTTTCCCCTGGCTGTGTAGTGAGGGGAATGGGCTTAGCTCTGGTTCACTCTGGCTAAGGGTGTATCTCTTTAGGGAATTTTATGTTGGGGCTCTCTGATTTGATGCCCCATCCTTTGTCTTGACAAGATCAGCGAACACCCTCAAGGCAAAAGTAGCTTCTTGTGCTCAGCTTCTGTCTCCTGGTTTTTAGATTGTGGCATGCTGCTCCCTTACTGTCTCCACATCTCTTGCATGTTTTTAAGGAAGGGATCTTTTTTCCCTTTTTACATTTTGTTTATCCATATACTTGTTTTCCTTGGAAAGCCTGGCTACATAGAACTGTTATAGGACAGGGAGAGGGGCAGCCCAAAACCCCGCAAACCTGCCTATTCTAAATGGGTTCTGCCATCCGCCGCATCAACACAAAACACATGAGACTTTAATGGGAAGGAACTTTAATAAAACTAGGAAACAATACAGGTAAGGCAAAGAGTCTAGTTTCTAAATGAAGCACCCAAAGTTACCCGTCCCCTCGTGGGTAAAACTCCATCCATATGGGATCGGCCCAGAACAAGGCCCCAAAGCCTGCCACAAGTCTAAAGCATCTTCCAGTGGGGACCCACAGAAAAGGGTCACAAACAACCGGACAAGCCCGGAAGGAAAAGAGCAAAATCAACATCAGGATAAAAGCTGCCATTGTCACCTCCCCACGGGTCTCACCCACATCTGTGTCACCCAGTCCATGACCAAAAGACAAGCGCAGTTTCTTCACGTGTCTCTAGGCTCCATGCACCTCCTCCAGGTCTCCTGGCTCCATCCTGCTTCCTTCCTCAGTCTCTTCTGCAGCTTCTCCTCTTCCTGCTCAGCTCCACCCTCCCTTGGGTGGGGCAGGGAACCTGGAACTTCCCCCTTTCCTGGGGACCACCCTGTTACAGAACTAGGTAAGTCTCCCCCATTCTGCACTTCCAATTTCTTCCCTGTAAGACGGGGAGAATACATATACTTCTACTTACAACAGAATATCAATTGAAATCATTGTCCTTTGAAAGTCACAAGGCTTCAGACAAGTGCTGTGTTATTTTCTTCTCCTTCATCTGTTTACACTCAGTATGCTCTAAGGATTCTTCCTTTTCTGCCAGCCTTTTAAATGTTGGTGGTCCCAACATTTGTCTGCGCTCAACCTACTGGCTTTCTTAATGTTTATACTATTTTCTCTTGTGATCTCTCTTCTCAAGTCTTGCTTATTTCTCTATCTCACTTCTATCTTAACTACACACCCATATATCCTACTGATACTAAATTCATCCCAAACCTACACACCAATGCCAAAATGTCCACTCCTGTGTCCCTGGCCTCAGGGACAGGCACTGCTCTCCATCCCCTGTGCAGCTGTCCAGGTAGAAGCTGTTATAGGGCAGCCCCGATACTGAACGGGTTGCCTGGCTGTGGGTCCTCACCCGCGCGCTTAAAAGGGACTTATTAATACTCCACTACAGGCACACACAAAAGGTTAATAAAAGGTTTATTTACAAGAGAAAAAGGAAATAAGGAAAATGTACAACTCAGGGAGAAAATAGGGAAATAAAGTCTTTAATGCGTCCTACCCGATCCCCCGACCTGGAAACCCAAAGTCACTCTCAGAGCTGGCCGGATGCTGCGAGCTGGCGGAGAGCCAAAATGGGGGAACCCCCAAAGCCCACATGTCTGGCTTATACCCACTTGGCTGCTTAACCCCACCCTCAGGTCCCAGCCACCTTCCCTTTGGTGGGGATGGGATTTGGAGTTCCCAGTGTCTTTGGCTTTGGCCTGGGGTGGGGGTGGAGTCCACAAAGCCTGTATGGAATTAGCTTTAGGACATCCTTTTCCCCCTAACAAAACCTGGGCATCAGCCTAAATCCTTCCCTCCCGCACCCCACACATCCATCCAATTCACCAGATGTTGTGAATTCTACTTCCTAAATTGTTCCCAAACTTGACCACTTCTGTTAGCCTAAGTCTCCAGTTTCTTGGCTCCCAACCCATTCTCCTTACCATCTGCCAGAGGGATGTTTCTAAACCGTACATCAGGTTCTGTCGCTGCCCTGCTTAAAGTCCCTAAGAGCTTACCGTCATTCTAAAGATAAAGGCCATTAACCTTGAGCACAAGACTTTTCGTAACCTGCCTCTGCCTACTTCTCTGTCCTCCTTTCTCTTTGCTTTTCCCATTTCTCGACCTCTCTCCTCTATTCTGAACTATTTGCATCTCATTAATGATGGATCACAATAGTGTCTCCGTGTGGGTGAGTTAGGGGAATCATATTTGGCCTACTCTATCTCTAGACACTCTCTTACTTGCTTTGACTGACATCTGATACTCTGGCCCTCCCATTAGACCTGCTGGCACCCCTCCCCTCCCAACGCACACAGGCCCCAGGCTTGACCGGCACAGAGCAGAGGGGGATTGTTAGCTTTTTTTCCTAGTCACTGTATTCCTAATAAGGCCACCTAAAGGAGCACAACATTTTAGCAGCTGTATAATCAGTCCTTTACTCAAGCAAGTTGTTAAGCCACCTCTCCCTCATTCTCCTTTCATGAGGGGTTTTCTGTCTCTAATTATTAGGGGGAAAGGCTGTCCTGAGCTAATCCCACACAGGCTTTGTGGACCCCACCCCCACTCCAAACTAAAGCCATCAAGACATTGAGAAAGACAAATCCCATCACCACCAAAGAGAGGGTGGCTGGGACCTGAGGGTGGAGTTAGACAGCCAGGTTGGATATAAAAACCAAACACATGGGCCTTGGCGGGGCTCGCTGTCACTCGCCTCCTGGCTTCATGGCTCCTGGCTGGCGGCCAGCTCTCAGAGCGCCATTTTGAGATTCCTGATTGGCGGATCGGGTAAAACTCATTTAAAACTTTGTCTCCCACTTTTCTCCCTGAGCTGTACATTTCCTCATTTCCCCTTCCCTTGTAAATAAACCTTTTATTAACCTTTCGCATGTGCCTGCAGTAGAGCATTGATAAGTCCTTTTAAGCACACGAGTAAAGACCCACAGTCAGGCACCCCGTTTTGTATCGGGGTTGCTCTACAACATTATCACAGAAGCTGATCTGACATTTGAACAGACCCCAGAGCTTGCTAAATTTCATCTTCTTTGCGGCAGCCCTTGGTTCAGTCTATGGAGCAATATTTTTAGCCTGATCCAAAGTCTAGTGTAAAGTGAAAAAAATCCCCTTTTGTCACAGAGACAGAGGAACTGACTGGGCCCGGAGGTGCTCCACACAGTTGGAAGCCACATATCAAGCAAAGCGGCAACTGCCCTAGACTCCCAGCCCAGGGTCAGGCTCCTGACCCCAACCCCGGCTTGCGAATTCCCATTAATGCATCTGTTCTCTTAGCTTCTAAAAAGTAAAGCCTATCAGATTTTAAATGATAGCAATTCCTTTTGCCAAAAGCTGTAATAAAAGTAGCACCACTCCAAAGAGCTGGAAAGCTCAGTCTGTCCACTATCCAGAGCCCCCTGCCACCTCAAAGGGCTCTTCTCCTCAAACTGCCATGGGGAGGGTTTAGTGCAGAGCCTGATGCTTTCTCAGAGTCTGGCATCTTGTCCTCCTTCCTACCTATTCACTGCCCCCAGCAGCTAAATTTTAGGGACAAAATAAAATAAAATTTTTTAGGGTGAAACTCATAAAAGGCAGAGCAGTATAACTTGCCCATCCTGCCCCAGCTCAGTCTCTCTGAACCCGCTAGTGTGTGCAGCCTTTTCCATGCAGGAGACTATATGTGTCAGTGGGGGTTGGGAGAGGGGTCACTTGGGGAGGGATACTGACCCCTCTCTGCAGGGTCTTCTCTTGGGACTAGAGAAGTTCCCACGCTGGTCAGGCCACTGTATTGAATCTCTGCCCTGCATTTCTTCTGGCGATGGAGGAACTTGTCCTCTACCCTTGCTCATTACCTAAGATCTTTGCATTCACAGGGAATTTTCAGCACCATCAGTGGCAAGCAAGAGGTACATCCTGAGGTTCCCAGCGCTGGAGACATTAATGCTGGATGACAACAGACTCTCCAATCCCAATTGCTTTGCCAGTCTGGCTGGGCTCAGGAGGTAGGGCTACAAGCCTCTCCCTGCAGCGCCCTCTATAGTCCCCAGCCTTGCTCACACCCTGAGTGCTACTGGGAAGCCAAAAAGCCCAGACCTATGATAAATCCCAGCCCCACTTCTGCTGTGTGGCCATGCATGAGTCATTTCTGCCCCCTGAGCTTCAAGTCAGTCATTAAGGTGGAGTGTCAGTAAGGACATTTTCAATCATGTGACTAGATTAAAAGCATAAAGATAAAGGAAGGTAGGAGGAGATGTTGCTGGACTCAGGATCCTGACTGAAAAGAAAGACCAAGAAAAAGAAAAGGGAGAGACAGAGAGAGAGAGAGAAGTTTAACTGTTGAGTTCTACCTATTTGGTTGAAGTAACGAAAATGCTAGCATTTTAGTGATTAAACTTTAGATCCATAGAAAATTTACTTTGATTCAGCTATCATTTACTGAATACTCCTTTATACCAGATTATTTACATATTGTCTCATTCACAAGGACCTTAAAAGGTTCATAAATACTCTCCCCATATTAGAGATAGGATATTGAGGCCCAGCGAGGTTCAGTCACTGGCTCAAGGTCACATAAGAGGACTAAGTGTCCAAACCTGATTCCATGTTCTTTCCCTAAAGTTGGTTGGTAAGTGCCCCTGAAATATTACTGCTGTGATTCTGTATTCACTTTCCTTAATTAAAGACTGAAGAAGTTAAGCCTGGACCAAAACAGGATTTCCAGGATCCCGTACCTACAGCAGGTTCAGGTCCGCGACGGATCTGCGAGCTGGGCTGGAGGCAAGGGAAGTCCCCGGAAGGAGGACCAATCCGTGCTGCAACCCGCGTCGTGGATGTTAGAGCCTTCAGATGAGCAACCAGACTATACCGTACTGCCCATGAAAAAGGATGTTGACCGGACAGGTAAGCGGTGCCCTTGACAAGGAGATTTTGGCTCCCTAGGTGAGATTAAACTTCTGGGAATTTATTCTGAGCCCATGGCACCCTTGGGATCTGCTGCATTTAAGCTGCTGAGTCTGGGACCTGGAGGAATCACAAAAACCATTTCAGTGACTTCCTCACTGGTTCTGTCAGCCAGGTGGTTTTAAAAGGGGCCACCCTGGTGACCCACAGGTTAAGCACAGCACTATGAAGCAATCGGCAGCCTCTGCAGCACGAGTTTGATCCCCAGCCGGCCAGGGGGCAACACACATGGCGCAACAGACCTCTCCTGTTGTGCCCGCTGCTCCCTTCAGCAGTGTTTCTGTCAGTCCACCTGTTCTGTTCCACACTCTGTCTCTGGTGAATCTTCTCACCCCCCCGCCCCGTACCTCTGGCCTGTACCCCTTGTATGCATAAATAAATAAAAACAGGGCTATCAAGCTGTCGCCAGCCACTGCAGCATGAGTACAATTTCCAGCCGGCCAGGAAACTGACCCACATGGCGCAGCAAACCTCTCCTGAGTTGGGGCTCTAGTCAGTGCTGACTGCCCCCGTGGTTCTGAGGCTAGAAAGAACTTGCTTGTTACAGAGTCCAAAAGGTCAGTGTGGCTGAAGTAGAATGAGGGGAAGGGTAGCATGAGGTAAGGTCAGAGAAGCACAAAGGGGCCAGGTCATGCGGGACCTCAGAGGTCTGGCCGGGGAGTTGGCAGACCCAGCCCCTCACCTGTCTAGGGGCCATACAGTACTCTCACCAAACTTCATTCTATTTCTCTTTTGTTTCAGAGGTGGTGTTCTCATCTTATCCTGGATTTTCAACCTCAGAGGTAGGAACTGACTATTTTGAGTTTGTGTCCTTGAGTTAGAACATACGTTTTAATGAACAAAAATAAGTTCATGGGGCCGCGAGAGACATCGATAACTGTCATACTGAGGAAGCCCATTCATTGAACAAATATTTATCAAGCACCTACTATGTTCTGGGCATTGTGCTGACCTGTGGAGATATAGCAGCGAACTCGCCAGTTAGGCTCCTGAGCACACACTCCCACGGCCTGCATCATTGTTCTCAGATGCTGTTCAGCCATAACGTTGCTGGTAATCAGTGCCAGGTGGTCAAGGTGGCATTGAAGGCTGCCACTAAGATAAAGCTCAGCAAGCAGCAACCTAACAAGAGCCCCCCAAAGCTGGAGTGATCTTGCCAGATATACCACCATCCTTGGTGTCACATGCTTAGATACTTGATTTTTGTCAGCACCAAAAATTAATTTTTATCTCAAGATAGATGCTGACTAACCAAACTCATGAAGACTGGAATACTAAATACTGATTAAAGAAGCACAACTATACACTTAGCCAACCCGTGCTTTCTGAGGCAGCTTAGTTACTCAGCCAACTCATACAACTGAGAAATTTATCAATTAACAATTGCTGTAGACGCACCAACCCAACAATACTGGCCTCAAACAATAGCAATTTATTAGTTTTCACAAATTATTTGGGTTGGTTAGGTGTGCAGCTGGTTTTGCCAGGGCTCACTCATGCGGCTGGCATTTGGCGATAGGGATATTGAGGCTCAGCAAGGTTAAGTCACTGGCTCAAGGTCACATAAGAGGGTTCATGAACAGTGGGTATGACTTGGCATCTCCTTGTTCTCTTTTCATTCTGGGCTTCTTTAAGCACGGTGGCATCAGGCTTCCTAGAGAGCAAGGGTGAATGCAAAACTCTGAAATTCACACAGTTGCACTTCTACATTCAAAGTCAAGGGAAGTTATAGGCAAGTATAATACTGCAGTTCAATTCTGACGTGAACCACCTAGCACAGACCACACAATTAAGGGCACAGTCCCCGACAAGATTGCCCCCACTTCAGATGCCAGCTGCAGGTTGGGGGTCACCAAGCTACCGTACTTCTGACACACTAGCTATAAATTTTGGAGTTCCCACAGCCCCCTCGGGTCCAGTCATTTGCTAGAACAACTGACAGAACTCAGGAAAACACTATACTTATGGTTGCAATTTTACATAGAAGGCAAGGTCCGGGAGGGCCCCAGATCAGAACTTCTGGGTCCTCTCCTCATGCAGTCAGGTGTGTGAGACTCCCACATACTGATATCTATCTCCAACCAGGAAGTTTACCTGTGTCTCAGTTTCCAGAGCATCTGTTGCAGTTTCATTGCATAGACATGGTTGAATCATTGTCCACGTGATTGAACTCAGTTTCTAGTCCTCGCCACTCCTCCTGAGCAGTCAGGCCAAACCCCAGTCCTCTCATCACTTGGCAGTGTTTCTAGATAGACAGCCCCAGTCCTGACTCATTCATTAACATAAACTCAGGTGTGATCCAAGGTATCCTGAATAACAAAGACACTCCAGTCACTCAAGAAATTCCAAGGGTTTTAGAAGTTCAGTGGAAAAGCCCAAAGACCAGACAGATTCTGTATTTTATAATAGCCAGCTTTATTTTCAGAAGGCAGAGCCATAGACTCCACCTCTGAATGGGAGAAGCAGCCAGACTGTACTTGGGATAGAGGCCCACTGTTTAGTGATGGCTGCTAAATAGTCTGCCATAGAAGTCAAAGACAAGCGGTAGGTTGCTCAGTGCTCAGATCCCAGCTGTCTGGCATCTGAGACCGCCGAGACTGTACAGGATGCTTAAGACTCTTAGTGGAAGTCTCTACAAACGCCAGATGTGTTCCCCATTAGTGCAGGACCCTCTCTGTCCCCAGCAGGCCCAGTCATGGTCCAGATAGTGCTGCCCCTGGACAGTGCAAGATACCTGAGCCTGACTCTGGGTTGTTTTTTGCTTTTTTTCCCTGTGCTGACTTGCCCCCTTTTGCTCCCACAGTCTTGCTCAAGGTAGAAATGGCACGTTGTGGAGAGTGCCTTGTCAGGTTGCCGCCTCATTCCACTCTGGCCTCTCAGATTGCATTTAAATCAGCTGGAGATGACAGTCACAGGAGTTCCCAAGCAGCAGCACTGGGTTTTCACACATAACTGAACTATCCCACTTGTATGAGACAAGTTGGACCCCAGGAGGGCACAAAATACTTTGCCCAAAGTAGGTGCTTCACAAACATTCACTGAATGAGCAGGTGATTTGCTTAATACGCTACAAAAAGAGATTAGTAGAGCTAATCTCAACTAATCTACAGTGATTAGCAGAACTTGGAACAGAATCTGCTTCATCTGAACCCAATCATTATCCCAACATCTATCCTGTAAATCCCTTAAATGAGTCCCATCTAACTCAAGGAAACAGAGAGTGAGCTGAGTTGAACCTAGTTAATCCAGCAATTTCCAAGTTTGAGCAAACCCTGTTTAAGAAAGGAAGCGAGTTTATATAGGTTTTGGGGATCAGGGTTGAGTACAAAGGAGTCTGGTTTGTGCTGAGAGACTGACCCTGAAAAGGACCAGATTCACCTTGTAGCATTCCTGCATCAAGGCCTGCCAGAAGGCGCCTGGGACTTAGCTGTCCCCAACCGTGGGACGTGAGACACCCATCAGGTATGCAAGACTCACATCACTCCTCTCCGTCTCCCCACTGGGAAAGTCCCCTTAACCAAGCAAGCACCTTCTCCCTTACCTTCTAGAGAAATTGTGGCCCAAATATGTAGAAGAGATAGTTCAGGATAAACTGCTGTAGGGCAAAGAACCTCTGATGATGGTACTACTGTGTATCTTACCGTATTTTATCGCCTGGCCTCATTGAACTTGAAACTGAACTTTGGGTGCTGGAGAATTGACTCACCACATGACTCCGGAGAATGTAGAACCAGAATTGACATTCCCCATATGTCCCCAGATGTCTCTTTGGCCAGGCTTCTGGAATGCTCATTGTTGCTACCACACTCCTTAGGAAGTCTCTGCTGGTCCTTGGCAGGATTTAATTTCTTTATCTTCAGGGCTCTTTGACTTTGATCTTTTTTCCCTCCTAAGACAACCAAGGTATGTGCACTTCCTCCCATATTCGAGATTCTTCCTGTGAAGTCCCTGAAAGCCAGGAACCAGACACTGGCCCCGCCCTTCCCAGAGCTGAGGTACCTTAGCCTGGCCTACAACAAGGTGACTCCCTGCTTCTCTACCTATTTCCTCAGGGGACAGATGGGAGGGTGGGATGCCAACTACTCTGGCCTAAAGGCCAGTGCTCTGGAGCCCTGCATAATATTTGCAGGTGCAGGAATTCTCAGGGTGGGGGAAGCAGAGACATTATTTAATACAGGCTAGGCTCTATGCTGGCCCTGCGAATACAGTTGTACAAAGAGAGACTCAGCCTCCACTCTGAGGAGCTTGTCACCTGTCAGGAAGACCAATACTGGACAGATAATCACATACAAGCTTGCTTGGCATTATGAAGAAATTCACAATACTGTGAAGTGTATGACAGAGGAATCTAACTTAATACCTGACATCAGGGAAGGTTGCCTAAAGAGTGGTGTTTACACTGAGATCTGAGGCAGTGAGTTTAGTTAAGTGAAGAGTGAGTGTTGCCAAGCAGTGGGCTTGCTACCTGGGGTGTACAGAAACTGCTACCCTGACATCAGGGTTTGAGAAGAGATAGAAGCTTTATTGCAAATCACTTGAGAGGAAGGATGGCCATAAACTCATGTCTACCTCCCTGTTTAAGAAAGGAAGCGAGTTTATACAGGTTTTGGGGGATCAGGGTTGAGTACAAAGGAGTTAAAATCTTTAGATTAAGGAGTGGATTAGGAACAAAGCAATGTCGACTTAGCTCAAGTTCCCTGGCTACTTACAGGACAGTTCATATGTGAGGAAGTCTGAAGAGGCTTTTTTCCAGATAACTGGAGATGGGAATTTCTGCTGGTGGCCCCTTACAGGTCACAGCCATGTTCTAGAGTCTCCCAACTCCAGCTCACCTTAGAGCTGAGCTCAAGATTAATCAATAAGCCTCCAGACGCTGCTGTATCTGCAAAAGCAAGTTTCAGAGAATAGTTTAGATAAATTTTTCCCCCTCCCTTTTGTGCTAGGGTCTGAGACCAATTAAGCCTCAGTTACTTGAGGGAAGACTGAAGTGAGAAATGTGCTAGCCTAAGGGAATGGCAGCTTTAACATGATTTCCATGTATTTTTTCCATATCCATATCCTGTTTAATTTTCTGTAAACCCCACTAATTGATCCTATATTCAAATTTGAGATGCAGGCAGCTTTTAAGACGCTCTACTTACATTCCTTCTAAGGGAAGCCATCGGTACAGCTAAACCCCTAAGTGTTTTCTTCTATGAGCTTTATATTTTCAGCTCTTACATTTGAGTCTTTGATCCCTTTAAATTAACCCTTTATGTACAGTGTGAGTCCAGCTTCATCCTGTGTATGTGGACATCTAGTTTCTCAACACCATTTCTTGAAAAGACTAGTCTTTCCCTACTGAATGGTCTGCTCACCCTGGTGAGAAAATCAGCGGCAAAATAGCTGGAAGTAATCCCTTTTATGCACGTTTAAAAAATGAAACTAGCTGCTGGTTTCTCTGAATTTTTCTATTATTTGTCTGTTTTCCATCTTATTGAATAGGTTTCCCTGCTCATAACTATTTCTGTTCTATTCACAATGAGTTTAATTTGGTCCTCTTTTTCTGGTAGCCCAAGCAGAACATTTATAGATCCATTGATTTAGACCTTTCTTCTAATATGAGCATATAAAACTAGACATTTTTTTCCTACTCATTGCTTTAGCTGGAGCCTGCCTATCATGGTATGTGTTTTGATTTCTATTCAATTAAAATATTTTTAATTTTTGTTATTTCTTCTTTGACCCATGGGTTGTTGGGAAATGAGTTCTTATAGTAGTTGATTTCTAATTTAATTCTATTATGGTCAAATAACAATCTGTGAGGTTTCATTCTTCTGATATCTGTCTAAACTCGGTTTTTGGTCCAGACTATAATCCATGTGGGTAAATGTTTATGTGCACTTAGAAAAAGATGTGTATTTTGCAGTTTGGGCAAACATTGTCCTATAAATATCAATTAAGTTGAGGTAGCAGACGTTGTCACTCAGATCTTTTCTGTACTATTGTTTTGTCTCTTTGTTCTACCCTTTATGAGAATGGCATGTTAAAATTGCCAGTCATGACTGTGGATTTGTCTGTTTCTCCCTATATTTCTGCTCAAATTTTGCTGCATGTATTTTGAAGCCTTACTACTAGCTACAATAAATTTAGGATTTTTATTAACTACTCGATGCGTTTATCCCATTATTATTATGACTTGCCACCCTTTGCCTGTAATAAATACTCCTTGTCTTGATGTCTATTTGTCTGATTTTTATATAGTTAGAGAGTTTTCTTTTTCTTCCCCAATTATTTGTGTGTGTGTGTGTGTGTGTGTGTGTGTGTGTGGTAGCATTGGTTTACACTGTTTGTGTCTTAGACTCCCACAGAAGGGGATCCCCACCTTCTAGTGATGTTAACCACTCTGGCCACCAAAGCACCCAAAGTCCACCACTGTAGTCCACTATTATCCAGCTTCCTTATGCCTCCTGCTTGCGTGTTTCTATCTAAACTTTTAGCCTATTTACAGCTTTGTATGTAAAGCAATCTCTTCAGACAGCCAGTAGTTGGTTCTTGCTGGGGTGCGTTTTTTCTTGGTGTTCCTGCTCTCTTCTCAGCTCTCAGCCTTGCCTGTGGTCCTCCGCCCTAGAGGGGCTTATCGCCACACCCTGTTTCTCCTCTGGCTCAAGACTGCTTTTGCCTGTTAGTCCTTACGGTCTGGTGGGGGGTGGGAAGCAATGAGAGCTTCCTACCCTGCTCTTGAGTTGACCCTGGATTCCTATGTCTCAAAGATGAACTTTCCTCAGTGGTTCTACCTCTACTGGACTGGACCCGGGTTGAATTTCTGCATCCTGACAAAATTAAAATTCCCACCCCTATTCTGGTGTGACTGCTTTTTGATGGCCTGATGTGCATTCAAGAGACTGCACTCTCTTTAGCCACCACTATGTAGTTGTTTACCAGCATATACTAGGCTTCGTTCATCCCTCTTTCCTGTTTCCCTAGAGTCTAGGCAAGGAGGCCAGATAATAAATACATTACTGTTTCACCTACTCAACTCGGCCCTTGGTACACAGGAGGCAGTAGGTAAATGAATGGGCGTGGTGGCCATGTTCTCATGGAGTTTTATTAAACAGAGAGGGGAGGCTAGCTCTGACCTGTGGGGCTATAGCTGGTGACCCTATTTTTGTACAGCCTTCAAACTAAGAGTAATTTTTACATTTTTTAATGGCTGGAAAAAATCAAAAAAAGGATAATAAATACTTCTTGACACATTAAAGTGATAGGAAATTTCGGTGTTCATAAGTAGAGTTTGATGGGAAAGAGCCAGCACACTTGGCGGCATTTGTACTACGGCTGTGACAGACAGGCCTGCAAAGCCAAGATACTCTGGCCTGACAGAAAAGATCTGCTGACCCCTGGTCCAACATGACCTGATTGTCATCCTGGATTATTCTATCTTTTATGTCCCTCCTCCCCACCCAAATCTAATCCTTTACCAAGTCTTGTCAAACGCAGGTCCTCTGCATTTCTCAAAATCCACCTAATAGGTTCCCCAAGGATGAAAATCTTTTAGCTTGTTTTGGTCTGGTCCTTATTTGGTCCAGCCTCATTTTGCACCTGGCACCCTTCTCTCTGCATGGAACTTCCTTTCTGCATTAAGATAAGTAACACTAGCTGCTACAACAAACTTAAAAGTCTCAGTGGCTTAATGCAGTAGAAGTGGACAGGCATGCCTTGGACAAACTGCAAATTCAGGACCAGAGCACCACACCAAAGTGAATATTGCAGTAAAGCAAGTCGCACCAAGTTTTTGTTTTCTCAGTATGTGTAAAAGTTTTGGTTACACATTATATATAGTCAGTTAAGTGTGCAATAGCATTCTTCAAAAACACTGTAGCTACTACCTTCGTTGTGGCAGACACCAAGTGGGCACACGCTGTGGGGAAAATGGCACCAACACACTTGCTCCATTTTGTGTTGCCACAGACCTTCAGTGTGTAAAAAAAGAAAAAAATACAGAATCTGCAAAGTGCTGTAAAGCAATGTGCAATCAAATGAGGTATCCCTGTATTTTTTGCTTTTTATAAAACTGGATATTTCAGGTTAGCCAGTGACCTTCCACATGATCACTCAGAGACCCTGTGTCTGTGACTCTGTCAGCCCAGAGAATCTTAGTTGGAGCCTGTGCATCTGGTGGGAAATAGGGGAAGGGGGAGGGAGTGAGAGGTAGTGGATCATGGAGGGGTTGTTGAATGGCCTGGAAATGGCCTTTGTCACTCCTTCAAGACGCACCTGCAGGTTGCATTGGCTAGAACTGGGTACCTCTGCCTGGGAGGCAAAGTACTGCAGTCTCGCTGTGTGCCTCCAGAGGAGGGGAAAGGGTTTTGGTTAATACAGAGGTTTTCTTAACCACATTCTCTATCCTCCACTGCATTCACTAGTTACCTCCTACTCATCCTTCAGGTCCCAGGGAGACTTTTGCTTACCTCCCGGGCCAGGTCAGATCACTGTGGTTCTCATGCGTTTCTTCTGTGGCGCTTCTCACAGGGCAGGCCTACTCCACTCGTGCTAGTTTCTTCAGTGCTGGTTTCCCTCTAGCAGCGCTCCTTTGAGAATGGGAATTGTATCTCTTTGGCTTTTTCCCAATCCAGTGCTTGGCACATGTGGCATTCAGTAAATGTTTTCTTGATTGAATGAACAAAAATGAAAGAGAATGACTAAGTTACCCATCCGTATTGAGGGGCCCTTCATGTGCCTGGAGATGTTAATGGGTGTTGGGGACCACAGAAGGTATGAAGTTCCGAGGGCAGGAAGGGCAGCACTGCAGCTCGCAGGGGAGCTCCAGAGGGGTAAGGTGTTCTGGGTGTGAGCAGGTGAAACTGCAGAGATGAGATATCACCCAGCAGTGAGTCCTGCCCATAGCAGCATCACGTCCCCGCCCCACCCCAACCTTACACACCTGCAGGGGTGGGGGAAGCCTTGACCTGACATGCTCTCCTGCATTCCTGACAGATCGCCAAGGAGGATGCCATGCTGCCTGTAGCTCTCTTCCCATCTCTCTCTGAGCTCGTCTTTCATAACAACCCTCTGGTGGCCCACACACGAGGTACAGTGCCCACAAACCTGGCCTCCCAACCCTGTGCCCAAGAATTTTGGGCAGCCCCCTCTCACCTTGCCCACACCAAGCCCCAGGCTCTGCTCTGTGTTGTGGGTGGGGGTGGATCTGGGTGTGCTGGGGAATGAAGAAAACAGCAGGTGCCACCAAGCCCCGGCAACTCACCCTGACGCAGCCTCGTGTACAGGCGTCATCCCTGTGTGCACTGGGGACTCTGGGGTCAGGGAGCTTCACAGTCTGCCCGAGGTCACACAGCAAGTGCAGGCAGAGCTGGGGTTGGAATGCAGAGTTAGCTGGATCCCATGAGCTCTGTAAGTGACACCTTGCCTTGCAGCTAGGTCTGCTATGACCTCGTTTCCCACATCCCACTTGGGGAGGGACGCAGGGCCCAGCATCAGGGCTTTCCCCTCCAGAGGCACTGAGCCCATGGATGCCACCTCAGCAGTGAAACCCACTGCCCAAGATGCAGCAGCTGGAGTGGCAGGACACCAGTGGAGTTCTGAGCTACACCATCTTTGCTGCCTTGGGCAAATTCCTGAACCTCTCTGTGCCTCACATTTGTCACTTGTCAAGTGGGAATAATATCGGTACCTACCTCCCAGGGTTGGTGGGAAGGTCACTAAGTACATCAATACACGTACAGCAACCTGAGCAGCACCTGTGCACAGTAAGTGTGAGCTGTCCGTAAACTTACTTTCCCATCACGGCTCCAGGGGTCCCTCTACTGCTGAAAAGCTTCCTTCATGATCGGCTGGGGATCCGCTTAATTCGCAGGAAGATCGTGAAGGCCAAGCATCATATCTTGATGCCTCGGAAGGACTCACGGAAGGTAAGGCTTCCAGTGGGGAACACCAACCCCAGAGGGAGTGGAGCCCACGTGGATGCTTGTAAACTGACCTGGCCACAGACCTGTGCTCTCCCACATAGCCGGAACCTCTCCCTTCGGCGTCCAGTGGCAGTATTGTCTCCTCCTGCCTTGCTCTGTCAGTACAGATGTGCCCAGAGGGCCAAGACAGATCCAAAAGTCAGAATCGGCAAGAGCCTTGGAGGTCATTGAGTCTGATTCCCTAATTTTACAGAGAAACTGAAGTCCAGAGAAGAAGCTGGAAAGCATGGGGAGAATCCAGTCAGAAGACCCAGGTATGAGCCTGGCTCGGTCACTGCTTAGCCGCCTGAACTTGGGCAAGAGTTTCACTCTCTGACTTCAGTTTTCTCAATTCCAGAACTTCTCAGAACTGCTGAGTGAACTGGATGGAACAACAGATATAAAAATACTTTATAAACACCTTAATCCTGTAACAATGCAGGTTAGAGGCACCTGGGATAATCATGAGTGACCCTGCCAGGCCTGGAACATGACTCCTGTTAGAGCCTCGGGAAGCATTTCCTTGTTCGAGCAGCCTGCCCCCTCAGACCTAGCCAGTCAGTGGGCTTGGGCTGCCTCTGAGAGCCCATAAAGTCAATCAAATCTCCCTTTCATCTGAAGGATTTGAGAAATTTATGGGAAATGCTCCTCCATCCTGAACTTCAGTCCTCCCATAGCCAAAAAAAATTGAACTGGCCAGTGCTGACCTCAGAAGTTAAATGCAGTTATTTTCTCATCACCCCCAGCAACCCACCTCAGTCCAGCCACACTCTTGTCTGGAGTCCCAGGGGGACCAGAACAGCAATTAAAGCCACAAATAGGCAGAAATTCAAAGGTTTTCCATCACCTTGTCCTTGTCTGTTGCCTCCTATAAAGACCCTACTCCCTTCCATCAGCTGGTGGAAGGCCAGAATCAGGGCGAGCTGATGTTTTCCATCACCTTGTCCTTGTCTGTTGCCTCCTATAAAGACCCTACTCCCTCCCTTCCATCAGCTGGTGGAAGGACAGAATCAGGGCGAGCTGATGCTAAGACCACGTCTGCTCTCCCATGCAGAGCATGCTCTCCACAACCTCACGACCTCAGGCGCAGAAACAGGCTGAGAGGACTGAAATAACTTATTGTGAAAAGTTAGTGTGGGCATCCAGGGGAACCCATGAGGTTCTAACTACTAGAGGGTAGACTCAAATACCAGTGGCCACATAAGAAGCAAATCAGTGCTTGTGATTTATTTGCAAATACCACCTAACCCCCCAGTGCAGGCGAGACTGGAGAATGTGGCTGAGGCCTTCAGCCAGAATGGAAGCGCCTGTGTGGCCCGCATGTGTACAGAGATGGGTTGGACATCCAGAGCAGACACCTGGACCTTTTACTCGGTCAGTGAACAGAAGCTGCAGGCTCTCCCCTCCTGCCAGGCACGGACAAAAAGGCAGAGTGGAGAAGCTGCTAGCACAGGCCTTCCTGGACCCACGCAACACGTAACTCAGAGCTGTGAGACACACGTGGAAGATAAAGCACCTGCCCTCCACGCCGGCCGACAGTCCAGCTCCCCCGGGGATGTGTGGTGTCCAGTGACCGGCCCCCTCTGACCAACCAGATTATCCAGTCTTCCCTGGGAAGGGGGCAGGGAAGGTGGGGGTGGGGTGGAGGAAGGGCATCCTCCCAGCACCCGTCCAGCCCAGAGATGAGAGGGAGGAATAAATGCTGCCCCTTCCCACCAGCCAGCACCTGATGGTACTTGGGGTTTGGGGCACTGAGGCGCGGGTTCTGTAAAACCCAGCTGTATTCATCAGGCTTCAAGTCCAAACTCTGGGGTTTTGCTATTTGCCAAAGGAAATATTTTGTTAAAGAAAACTTTATAGAAGAGTTACCCTAATACACCTTAGTTTGTTAGGTGCATTTGGGAGAATTCTGGCACAGGCAGGGCAGGGACATTTGCCTCAGTTCTTGGAGGGGAAATGGAAGCTCAAAGACCCTTAAATTTCTAACATCAGCACTTGGGAGCCTTACTACACTACGAGGTCTGTGAAAGTGCAGATCTGCACAGACCAAATACCTTTGACAGAGCATAGAAAACAACACGCGTGTCACTAGGGAGGGAAGAGTAAGCCCATGGCTTGGAGGAGGAGGGCAAGGCGACTGGCTTTGCTAATTAAGGAAGCCGAGCAGTTCAGCAGGAAACTGAACTCGAGGAAGATTTGCCTTTTGTGTCTTTCTATAACGGTGTAGGGACCAGCTTCCTGAAGGGGCCTGGAGCTGCTGCCTTCCAGAAAGCACAGGACCATCTCCTCATACCCTCGTAGGTGTCCCCAAGGAAAGTCAAGAGCACATTGTTAAGTCTTGAGCCAGGGAATGAGGCTCCTGAGGCCAGAGGCATAAGGTCAGGGCTGTCAGAAGAGGCCTGGCACCCAGAACAGGAATCGAATAGTCTGGGCTTTGCCATGAATAACTCTGTTACCTTGAAACAAGCCCTTTGACCTCTCTGAGCCCTAGTTTCCTCATTTATAAAATGAGGATAATGACTCACTGGCTAGTGTTGAAGTGTAACTAAAACAATATGGGTTATGCATGGGGCACATTGTAGAGGCCCAGGAAGTGTGATTTTGCTCCCTCCATCTTCCCGGAATCCTCACCCAGTGCTCCAGTTGCTATACCAGGTGGTCTTAGGGTGGTGAGGTCCAGGAGGAGAGACACTGATTAGGCAGCAAACCGATCAAGCCCTTCTCCCGTGACAGGTAAAAACCCAGGTCCCAAAGGTGCCAAAGCAGCCTCTGACCCTCCATCAGCCATCCATAACCAAGTCTCCCTCAAAGGAGATGCTGGAGTCAGAAGCAGGGCTGCCTGAACAGCTGCCCACTACCAGAAAAACTTCTCTGAACATAGAGATGCCCATTGAGGGCCCAGGGGGCCTCTCCTTATCTCGTCGGACCTTCGTGCCGCTGCCTCCCATCCTCTCACACTCCACGGTGAACAGTGAAGGATCTACATCCCGCCACAGTGACCCAGCCAGCCGTGTCAGCCCGGAGCACCTGTCAGATGAGGACACCAAGAGCACAGAGTCCATCTTCTTGACCCAGGTGCCTGGATCTACCTGCCCCTGCCCATTTGTTCCCCAGCTCCCCTAGGTGTCTGTGAAACCCTGGGCCGCGGGGGACAGCTAGAAGTAAGCACAAGGCAGATCTGGAAGTCAGAAGGCAGCACCGGGGGGCGGGAGGGGAGGGATTGGGTCAGAATGGAGGGGTTGCAACTGTATGGGGAATATAAAAATAAAATTTATTATTTAAAAAAAAAAAAAAGAAGGCAGCACCCCTGCAGCCCCTTCTTGGAGATTTGCTGATGTCAGTCTCCTCGTAGGGGCACCCATGGGGACGAGTCATAGTCCTATGGCACAGACACTGGGGCCTGGTGGTGGTGGGGGGGGGTGTGTTCTAACCAGTCTTTTGGTCAGTTTTGCTGCTCCCTCTGCTTAAATGCTTAAGGTTACCTCACTTCTCAAGCTGCCTTTGAATTCTGTGAACACAGATGGATGAGATGTGGGTCCTGCCCTTTAGAAGGCCTGAGTCTGATGGGGGAGCTGAACAGGAACTGTGTGTGCAGTCAGTGCAGAAGCAGAGGAAGGCTCAGGGGATGGAAGCCTAAAGGAAGGAGGGTTGCCTTTGCCCCAGACCAGGAAGGCTTGCTGAAAGAAGTTCAAGTGAGCTGAGCTTTGCAGTTCGAGTAGGAGTTAAACAGGTAAAGAGTGGAGCAATGGCCTTCTGGGCAGAAAGTAAAACTGGTGTGAGCAGGAACCATGAATGGTTCAGTGTCAGTGCAGCAGAAGGGTGACATATAAAGAAAGGAAAATATGAGCCTGATGGAGTTGGCAGAGCCCCCTTGAACTTCATTCTTTTTTTTCTAAGTTTGTTTATTATTTTTTTCGTGTGTGGAAGAGCTGGGTGCGGGGTTGGGGGGGTGGTAATGGGGATTCTTCAGAGACAGAGTGGGAGCAGAACAGGCAGATCCACTGAAACACACTGCTGAGGGGAACAGTGAGTAAGACAGGAGAGGTCTGCTGCGCCATGTGGGTTAGCTCCCTGGCCGCGGATCAAACTCAGGCTGCAGTGGTGATGGTGCTGAGATTTAACCCCTAGGTCACCTGAGCTTTATTCTTGTACCATCACTCTCCCTGATCTCCCTACCTCCCCTAACCTGCTCATTGCTAGGTCTTCCCAGTTGTACACCTGTCTGTGCAGTATGTCTAGCTCTATCCATTCACCTCTAATGTCACTCCACAGATCACTTAGAATGACTTATAATGAGGATAAAAGCAAGGATAAAAGCATCTTTAGGAACTCTTATCAGAAAGTTTTTGCAAGAAAGTAGAGTACAATAAATATTTAAAAAATTGAGTTAGATGGAAGGAAAATATGGACAAGAAAGGATTAAATACAAGGTTAAATATGCCGTGTACATGGTGCCTTCTGAGCTTCTGGTAGCCAAAGCCATGCAATCAATTATGAGTCACCATGTTCAGAAAATTTTTTTCTTTATCTAATTTCCCAGGCTATCACCTCTAGTACAATGTTTAACAGAAGTGGTAGGAACAGACATCCTTGTCTTATTCTTGATTTTAGGGGAACAGCTTTCAGTTTTTCATCATTAAATTTATTAGTTGTGTATGTCCTTTATCAGATTGAGGAGTTTCTATTCCTAGTTTGTTGTTGTTTGTTTTTTTTTTTTTAAAGATTTATTTATTTATTTACACAAGCGCTGGGTACAGTCAGAAGCGTGGGAGGGTGAGAGAATTCACCAGAGCCAGAGCCGGGAGCAGAGCAGGCAGAAGGACCGAAGCACACTGCTGAGGGGAGCAGCGGGGGCAGGAGAGGTCTGCGTGCCATGTGGGACCCTCCTCCAGTGGCCGGGGAGCAGCCGGGGATCGAACTGGCGCTGCAAAGGCTGCAGGCAGCTTCGCAACCCAGCGGTCAACAGCTGCGTCACCAGGGAGGCCCTGTTGTTTTTTTTTAATCATGAAGGGGTATTAAATGTTATCAAATGCTTTTTCTGCATCCATTTAGATCATGTGGTTTTGTTATTTATTTGTTGATTACAGTGTGCTGCATTAATTAATTTCCTCATGTTAGGCCAGTCTTGCAGACCTGGGATAAATCCACTTGATCATGGTGGGAATTTTTTGTTGTCACTGATTCACTTTGCTAATAATATTTGCGGATATTTGTGTATCTGTTCATAAGGGATATTGTTTAGTGGTTGTTCTTTAGGGTAACATCTTTCCCTATAAAACTAGTTTCAGGGTTTGACATTGACCTCAGAGAATGAGTTGGAGGTGTTCTCTCTTGTCCAGACTTTCAGGAGTTTCTGAAGTGTAGGTATTCATCTTCTTTAAATAGTCATTAGATTTGTAGTTAACGATAGCAGGTTGTTGGCTCTTCTTTGTGGGAAGTTTTAATATTATGGATCCAGTCTCTTGTTTTAGGGCTGTTCAGCTTTTCTGTTTCTTCTTCGATCAGCCATAAGTTTTTTTTTCCCTAAATTTTTTTTTTTAATAGAGGCATGTTATTTATTTATTGTTTGTTTGTTTGTTTTTGTTTATACATGCACTGGGTACAGTCAGAAGCGCGGGAGGGTGAGAGAATTCACCAGAGCCAGAGCGGGGAGCAGAGCAGGCAGAAGGACCGAAGTACACTGCTGAGGGGAGCAGCGGGTGGCAGGAGAGGTCTGCGCGCCATGCGGGACCCTCCTCCGGTGGCCGGGGAGCAGCCAGGGATCGAACCGGCACCGCAGAGGCCGCGGGCAGCTTCGCAACCCAGAGCTCAACCAAAGGGTGTAACTACATCCCTGCCTGAAATACAGGTTTCATAAGATTTCTTATAAAACCTTTAGGGTGGACTTAAAATGTGAGTTCAGATAATGTCCTCGCCTCCTGAAGCCTCTGTGACTTGCCATCAGAGTGAGGATAAAGACAGCACAAACCCAAACATGACCAACTGCCCTGAGCCCTGGACTTAAATGTTCTCAGTGATCGAGGCCCCGCTTATGGCTCCACTGCCTCTTTCTCTTCATGGTACACTCCAAAAAAAGCAGGTTTTAGTTCCCCCAAGTGTACCCTACTGGGTCTTACCTGTGCACCTTTGTCCATGCTGCTCCTTGCCTGCAAGTCATCCTTCCTCCTCTCTTGCGGTGCTCCCTCTCACAATCCCTGCCGGAGTCCAGCTCGCCTGATTCTTGGAGACTTACCTTGGGCTACGGTATCACTTCCTCTGGGCAGCTTCCTGGCACCCTGGTCTGGGTTAATGTTCCCAATAGGCTCACCCAGAATCTTATGCTTCCTGTTCTAGCATTTTTTTTAAAATAAATTTTATTTTCATATTCCCCATACAATTGCAACCCCCTTATTCTGACCCCAATCCCTCCCCTCCCCGCCCCCCACCCCCCATAGAGTGTCTCTGGTTCATAGTTGTTTGTTGATTTTGATTTTCACTTTCTTATAGTTATTCATTTTCCTGGTCCCTTATTTAAGTTTTCTAGATTCCTGCTATGAGTGAGACCATCCGGTATTTTTCTTTTTCTTTCTGGCTTATTTCGCTGAGCATGATCCCTTCCAGCGCCAGCCTACGGCCATACCACCCTGAACGCGCCCATCTCGTCTGTTCTAGCATTTTTTTTTTTTTCATAGAGGCATATTTATTTATTTATTTATTTATTTATTTTTTTATTCATTTGTTTGTTTTTTTGTTTATACATGCACTGGGTACAGTCAGAAGCGCGGGAGGGTGAGAGAATTCACCAGAGCCAGAGCGGGGAGCAGAGCAGGCAGAAGGACCAAAGTACACTGCTGAGGGGAGCAGCGGGCGGCAGGAGAGGTCTGCGCGCCATGCGGGACCCTCCTCCGGTGGCTGGGGAGCAGCCGGGGATCGAACTGGCGCTGCAGAGGCTGCTGGCAGCTTCGCAACCCAGCGCTCAACCGCTGCGCCACCGGGGAGGCCCTGTTCTAGCATTTTTAAGGTCGTCTATTTTCATGTTTGCCTCCTCCCACCTCTGCCCTGGTTCTTGCCCCCCGTCAGGGCCCAGCCTGGGGGTCAGCAGAGAACTGATGCTTGTTAGCGTTAATGGACTAGACTAATGTGTTTTTCTTCCTGGAAACAGGTGAATGCATTGCCTTCCCCCATCCTCCAGAGGGATCACTCAGACTTGCAAGAGAAAGGCAAAAGGAGGCCACAAACAGCACCCAGAGAAGTAAAGAAGACTCCGAGGAAGCTCTTATCTGCCTCCCTCTCCAGCAAGTACCACGGTTATGAGGAGCTGCTGACAGCCAAGCCCGATCCTGCCTTTATTGAGCCAAAGGGTATGTGACGAGAAAGTCTCCAAGGCCCAGAGCCAGTTGGGGAGAAGCCAAGGCTGCTGCCAGGCCTTGTTTCCCTGCCAGGGTGCTGTCCTGTCTGAATCTGTACACCGTACCCCCAGGGGGTCCTGCTGTGGAACCCTACATGTTGGCACCCCTAGCCTGAGTCCTGTTGGTTTTGGGAGCCACAGCTTGCTCATATTCCAGCCAATGTGGGCTGACCTGCTCTTGTTGGAGAAGCCTCTAAGAAGGATTTGCTGTACAAGCACTCAGATTGGCCAGATTTTCAAACTCTTCCCCGGCCCAGTGAACATCTGAAATCTCCCCCTATTTGGCTGGACCCCTATTTGGTTTGAGGCAAGGGAGGCCGCGCCCTCTCCGAGTTTCACACTGATGCTTTAATGGTATTTGTACTTCCGAAGGAACTGGCGCTAAGCTGTGCCCTTGTGGGTGTCAGTCTATCCCAAGGTTAATGTGGTTGCACTGGGGTCAGCCCTTTCCGCTGGGATCTGCACTCAGAGGGGACTCGTGGTCATGCCTGAATGATGGCCCTCCAGGCACTGTAATAGAGCAGGCGGAGATGAGCGGGCAGTGTTTTCCTTCTTGGGGTCTCTAGACTCCTTCTCCCCAGGGCTACTGGGAGGTAGAGAATGAGGAAGTTGGGCCCGGCAGCCTGGGGGAGGAGAGGGAGGTGTCTTGCTGATGACTCAGCCTCGCCTCCCTGCGCTAGGAATCCAGAAGAACACGCAGGCCCTACAGCACATGCTGAAGCACCCGCTCCTGTACCGCTCCTCCAAGCCGAGGCTGGACACCCTGCAGAAACGCTATGTCCCCAAGGAGAAGCGGGTAGGTGCCTACCTAACTGAGCGTGAAATGACTCCTGGGGTCCCCCACAAATGTGCACAGATGTGGCTATCACCCAGGGACCTGCTAAGGGGCATGCATTTCCAGTGCCCCCCAAGGGCTCCCCTGCCAGTTGGGGTGACCACGTGAGGTGAGGCCAGGAATATCTGAGCCAAGCCTGGGGTGTGGAAGTGGGATGACACACTCCTCTCTTGCCTTCTGTCAGACCCAGAAGATCCCAGCTTCATCCCCACGGAAGACTCGAGCTCAGCTGCTGGATGACATCCTCATTCGCATGCGGGACCCCCGGAACATCACAGAGGCTCCACTCGGTAGGGCTCACCCTCAGCTGCCAGGACTGGAGAGCTGCATTACTCAGCTGCTGGCCTAAGGGCTTGTGTCAGAGCAGAAATGGTCCGTCGAGAGTATTAACCCCTGCCCTTTCCATGTGCAAGTGGAGAAACGAGGCCCAGAGTGAGGCAGGAGGCTGCCCAAAGTCATACAACCTGTCATGAACTAGAACTACCCTTGAGGAGGAGACACTGGCAGCTCCTCAAAGACCCAAGGCTCCTCCCACCCCATCCCACTTTGGGGGCGCACTGGACCCAGTCCTTGTCCTCACTCTGGGCTAGGAACCACCTAGGGTGAGCTTGGTGCCCCTCCGGGCTTCTCTCCCTGCAGCTGCTGTCCTGCGCCGGCAGACAGAGCAGCGCCTGGTGAACCAGAAGCAGTACTTGGAGGCCAAGAGACTGCTGAAGGAGTTCCGGGCACGCTATAGGCGGCTGGTGCGCAGCTCAATGCGGACAGTGTTCGGAACCACAGAGCCAGCCCCAGCCCGCCCTGCACTGAGTGAAGGCCAGACTAAGTTTGGCCACTTCCTTGAGTTCATGGACGAGTTCTGCCAGGATCCCGTGGCCGGTGACTCAAGAGACTAGGGCTTGCGGGGTGGGGGGGGCGTGCAAGCCATCCAGTGTGTGCCCCATACCCCACATCCTCCCCCATCCCCAAGGGCGCCTTGCCCTCCACTGGGACTGCTAGGCCTATGTGGGCCTTGGAGTTGGGCTCAGCCTTGCTGGCTGGCTGGCTGCAGAGAGTGGGGAACTCACCAGAACCACCCCCCCCCCACCCATGCCAGGCTAACAGGCCCTGGAGCCTGGGCCAACACCAATAAAGAGTGGGTGCATAGCACAAGGTACTCACGCATTCTTTCTGGGAACCGGGGGCAGGCCGTCACACTGGAACCACATCTCTGACAGACAAGGAGTCTGTGGGAGTCCTGTGGGAAACCTGCCCGAGCCACATGCCTACAACAGAACTGAGATGATCACTAGGGTAGGTGGGGGTAGGTGGAACAGAGACAAGGCACAGAATCTAGGGTTCAGTGGAGTTAACTAGCTTGTTCATAGACAACAAAGGGAGGAGGGGGACCTGGAGCCCTCCAGGCCTCGGAAAGAGCACCTTTTTAGTAGGGCAGCTTTTACCATTGTGAGGGAAAATGGGGTGGGCAGGGGAGGATTAGGAATTGTCGGATGGCCATGTACACAAAGGTGGGACAAGCTGAGGTCCTCTAATCCCATATTTAAGTCCCTAATTCAGGACAAGGTGGGCCGTGGCTCTAAAACAGTCCCTGCGACTACACAAGGTGAACCCAGACTCACAGTAAGTAAACCGACTTCTGGCAAGGCAGCCAATGGAGTCGCCCCATTCTTGTGAGCGCCCAAAATTTAGCACCTGCGACAGAGGGAGAGCTGGAGAAGGCCCCTGGGGCTGGGGTCCAGGCTGTGCACTTGGGGATGGATGTTGGGCAGGACAGAGTGGCCTGGGGAGCAGGCCTGCAGTTCCCAGAAAGCAGTGGCACAAACTCCCACAACCTAAGTTGCAATTAAGGTGATTATAGAGATGAAGTCTTGTAGCCCCAGGTATGACAGAAGTATGGAGTATCTGCCATATCACAAGCGTGAGAAACTATGAGGACACAAATACTTTCCTACTATCACACTCACAGCCTCACACATGTAGACTGGAAGGCGAGTCACTCATAGTGGCACTTGTGTGCAGGGCATGTTGCTGACTCTCCACCTTGGGCCTCAGACCCAAAAGCACCCTTCTGCTATTATTAGTAAGTAGGATCCACCTCCACCCTGAAAACCTTATTAGGTGCCAGTTCTGGAGAACCATCTGGCCTAAAAGGCTCCTAGGAATACCCTATTCCAGCCTCTCAGAAGCTTCCTACAGTCCCCCAGCAGGTCATTCAGCTCCTCTTACCCATCTAGTGACAGGGAGCGCATTCTCCAAAGCCTGTCTTTACTTGTGTTGGGAAAGTATTGGTAGTTCTAGCCATCAGACTAAGCTACCTGCTTAAGTTCTTCCAGATCTTAGCTCTGCTCTTTGGCCAAGAATGTGTCTGTTCTTTCTACCCAGCCAGGCCAATCCTTCACCAATGGGAGAAAATACTGAAGAAGCTACACTCACCCACTGGCTTTATTGCGCTGCTGTCAGCAGATTATTATCAGAACTATTTTCCCTTTTATATACTTGACATTGACCTTTGGTGCTGAGTCAGGGTTTTTACATTTCACCATCTCAGCTTCATCCTAGAGTTCCAGGATGCCAGGGTCATTCGGAATTCTCAGTTGTTGGCTTTCCTATGGTGGAGACTGTTTGGAGGGAGCTGAGCACTGACCCTTTTCCGTCACCAAATCATGTCACTGTAGAATTCGCAGGAAGGAAGCCATAAAAGGCTACCCGGGGACTCTGCTACCCACTTAGGAGGGCTTGTAGACTGTGCTGTTTCTAGGTCCTACCTAGAAGACTGAGGTCAGACCACGAGGGCTAATGTTTCTTACTCATCCTTTCAGCCTCAGCTCAGGCGTGTCCTTGAATTCACCCAAAATGTGACCCTAGATGGTTGCAGTGTACCACCAGGAACTGGTGCTCAGCCCACTGCCTGGGTCCTGGTGGCACTTAGAATTTATTGACTGAATTTACTGGGAGGAATGAATGATATAGTTCACAGGGGCTGGCTTGACGGGATTATACAGTTATTTAAGGAGACTAGAAGCCAGTGCTGGTATGTTCCCACAGGCACTGCCTGGGCCTTCCCTTAAAACCACCACGTTGCAGAAAAAAACAGCCCTCCAGCCTGCCTACTGTTTTAAGTATATGAGGCAGAGACCAGACTGCCCACTCACCCACCATCCCATCAAGGTGAATTTCTGCCTCTCCGGAGCCATTCAATCATATACCAGTTGTCTATTCTTTCCAACTCATATGTAACCTGGACTTACATTACCAGGGTTCAATTTTAACCCCATCTCATTTATTGTATGATACAGGGCAGGTTATTTAACTTTGCCTATACCATTAGGGGGATTTTCAATATCTCCGGGTCCTTGTGATGTTGAACACACACTTTGAGGTCTCAAGTAAGCAAATTCAGTAGGTTGCCTGCATTTTGTATAGTTGGAAACATAACCTAGTCCTTGTTTGAGTAAAACCTCAGACTAGACTTGTTGAATGAAAGGGGATTCTTAACTAATCACGGAGGCTTTGGGTGGCGGCCACCCTCCCTGCAGCCAGCGTAATCACCCCTCCTGGCACACCTGACGTGCCAGAAGCTTCATCCCCAGGCTGGTCCCGAGTCCACAGTCCGCTGGTGGGCAGCTGACTGCCACATTCTTCTGAGCCTTCTCCAATCTTCTCTTTTACCAAGAGCAAACCAGAATAAAGTCTCTCCAAGATTAATTAGGTAGGCCCATTGTTTTTCTAGTCCCTTATCCAAAATGCCAGTGAACACCGAGAGTCAATCAGATGAGGCCACAGGGAAACCGATTTAGAGGCAGATTGTGCCTCACAATCCTTGCTACCTCAGGATACCTCCCACCCCAATAGTAGGTGCAGGGGGGAAGGCTCTGCCCCTCTAGCCCTGTTAGGCTCAGTCTAAGAGATCCAGTTCAGAACACAGCAAGAACCATACTGTTAGCCACGGCCAGTGGAGAAGGATGGAACCACCTGCAGCTGATTTGAGCCAGCGCAGTAAAAAAAAAAGCAGTGTGGACACAATTTCCAGGCCATTAGTAACTGTGAGGGTCATAGTTCCCCATCTGTAATGAGGGTTTCCCCTCACACCAAGCTGTAAGGGAATTTTTTTCATGTTTTTTTTAATTATTATTTAAATTTTATTTTTATATTCCCCTTACAATTACAACCCCCTTATTTTGACCCCAAGCCCTCCTTTCCCCACCCCCCAACCCCTAAAGAGTGTCTCTGGTTCATAGTTGTTTGTTGATTTTGATATTTACTTTCTTATAGTTATTCTTTTTCCTGGTCCCTTATTTAAGTTTTCTAGATTCCTGCTATGAGTGAGACCATCCGGTATTTTTATTTTTCTTTCTGGCTTATTTCGCTGAGCATGATCCCTTCCAGCGCCATCCATGTTGCTGCAAATTGCATGTGTTTATCTTTTTTGAATGCTGAGTAATATTCCATGGTGTATATGTACCACATCTTCTTGATCCAGTCATCTATTTTTGGGCATTTGGGTTGTTTCCAAAGCTTAGCTATTGTAAACAGTGCTGCTATAAACATAGGGGTGCAGGTGCTCTTTGGAATTGATGTTTCTGTGTTCTTTGGGTAAATACTTAGGAGTGGAATTGCTGGATCATATGGAAGCTCTATGTTTAGTAGGTCAAGAAATCTCTCTGAAGAGGAAATGCAAATGGCCAACAGGCATATGAAAAAATGTTCAACATCACTTGTAATCAGGGAAATGCAAATCAAAACTACAATGAGATACTATCTCACACTAGTGAGAATGGCACATATTAAAAAAACTAGCAACAACAAATGTTGGCGAGAATGTGGAGAAAAAGGAACTCTCCTGCACTGTTGGTGGGAGTGCAAACTGGTCCAACCACTATGGAGAGTTGTGTGGAGATTTCAAGCTATAAGAGAATTACTAAGGGTATGTGGAGTACAATCTGTCACTTTAGGGCCCAAGAAACAATGACGTCGTATTCTCATTATCGCCAACCAGTCTATTGTTTCCTGCTGATTATTTTAACAGCTCTTCTCTTGAAGAGGTTGTACAAAATGATTTCAAAGCCCTCCACCCAAAACAAGCGCTGATTAAGTGTATGACTATTAGTCTTTCAAACTGGCTTTACATGTTTACATGGAAACATTTGTTCTGTTGGGTAGGATACTGACACCAAGAGGATTGTGATGAATTCTGAACAACGGTCTCAAATGAGGGTATTAAAAAAAAAGAAATAGATTTCCTGGTACAGCCCTAAAGACAAGGACAGTGTCATCCTGTACATCTGCTCTTTACTCAGAACTCTTTCCTGGTGCCTCAGAAGTATGACTTGTTAAATATGAGAATGATAGGTGTAAATTGAAAAAACTTAGAACTCAAAAAGACACAGCTATACACCATGGAAATCCCATCCCACCTCCCAACTTCTCATCATTCTGAATGCCAAAGCAAGTCACTACAACATGGGACATCTCCCAGAGCAAAGATAGCACCAAAGATCACACACCACCCATAGTCTAAGCTTAGCCCAGGGATAAGACTTTGACTAGAGAAAGAACATTCATATTCATGAGTTTGCTTTACTGTATTCTCAACTTGGGCCTCTCCTCAAGCAGGCAAATATACATTAAAGAGTGCACTTTGGTATTGTTTTAATAAACAACACATCATCCCATTTGATTTCATGACATTTCCTTGTTGGCAGAAGCATCCCTGAGGGCACGCCCTGTTCTGAGTCCTCTTATCTTTGTCAAAATGCTCTTTATGATGAGCTGGAGAAGAGGCAGTCAGGAGAGGCAGGACCCAGCCCATCAGGACCCAGGCCCCTTCTCCAATTCTAACGCAGACAGCAGGTTCAATGAAATGAGTATACAGTCCATTTTCTATTTCTAGGTGGGAGGAGGAGAGGCCCTAAGGAAAACCGTGTTTGTACAGAGTTGAAAGTAAACAGCATTATCAGGGGGAAAAATGCATTCGTTGGCATTTAAGACAAGATTTTCCCCTTGCGTAGTTCTCCTCTCACTAGGCTTTAAGTGTTTTGCCAGAGGCTGAGGGTTGAAACCACTGCTGCCATCCGTTGGCACGGTGTGGAAAGCAGGCAGAACAAATTGGGAGATCTGACTGCTGCCATCCAGAGCCAGTGCCCAAAACTACCCTTGAGCTCTGAGGGCTGGGTCTTTGAGGAGTGCATTGCCTGTTTTCCCCCTATGTTGAGAGGAAAGGAAGATGAACAAACTTGGCTTTACCTTGGCTTTGTCCAACCAGTTCTTAATTTGAGACACCAGAAAATGTGGAGCATGCCCCAGGTTGGAGGTTGCCTCCCACACTTACAGACGTGAAGGAAGCATTTACTCACAAAGCAAATGTGTGAATTTCTTTCTAAGGAAGAAAAAGAACACTGATAATGCATGAACAATGTGCACAGTCTCGGCACTTTTCCTTCATTCAATTTAACCAGCTTCCACACTGGTGACCCTGCAAGTGTGAAGTCCTTCTCTGTAGAACAATCTTCTTCAGGAAGTTACCGCATGTGACAATCACGGGCAAAGATGCAATTCTTGATCTTTGAAGAAAATCTGTTCAGCAGCCTCTATTTCCTAGAAATCTCCCCTCTACCCCTCCTCCTTCCCCTCAAAAGCAGGCTTTTCTCATTGTGTCATAAAACTCATAAGCAGTTTATGCTCACTTCAAAATACCAGGCCAGAAAGACCACTCTACAGGCTGATGAGGAAAAGACTGGTTGAGAAGACTGAAGTCCCTAAGAAAGTACTTGATTTTCAAAGGGAAATGAAGTGTTGGCTAGTTGTTACCTGTGACCATTAAAATGATATTCCAATCAAAATATATCACTTCCCAAGATGACATATTTGCATTACTCATACTATAGGGGTTTTTCCCTACCAGGTGTATATTAGGGACTATAGGTCCATCTTAATTCCAACCAAAAAAAAAGAAAGAAAGAAAGAAAAAAAAACCTGTTGAAAGCCTCCTAAATCATTTGGGTGTCCCTCTTACTAGCAAATCGTGGGTGTATAACTTAAAAGTCTATTTACTTAGATCCTTCTGTTTACAGTAGTAAACAGGGCACAGGACATTGGATTTCATGTTCCTCCTATCTTAAAAAAGAAAAGGGGGTAATAAGGGCGAAGTCTGACTTTATTCATTCCAAACATTTTATGATTATGATCCAGCCTTCAATTTTTCTCCCTTCCACCTCATTCTCTTCTGGTAAAACTGAGGAAATGGAAATGAGGGTTGCAATCAAGTTCACAAATACTGATCGGGGTATCGAAAATGTTCAAGGCCGCCTACTGGGTGCCACATAGCATCCTAAGATCATCGCTATGAAAGAAGCCTTTCAACAAACTCTCCAGCCACACATACATTCAAATACATTTCATTAGACATTGAACTCAAGAGTAGGGAATGTCCTTTTTATCTTTGTATCTCCATGACCCCGCGCAGGGTTGGCACAAGTTCGAGGCTCAGGAAATGTCTGTCATATGGAACAGAAAGGGCAACAGCACAGCCTTCGGTCATCAGCTTCACCAGTCCAGCACAGTGGCGCCTTCCTATTTTAGTCGGTTTGTAATCATACAGCAATTACTTAAGCAGCTTTAATCTCTTAAGGGCATTTTTCCTTTAGGGAAAATGAACAACAAAAACCACCAAAACTCAGAGGGCATTATCACCAGTGCTTCCTCTAAGCAAAAATTAATTTTTTTTTTTTAAATGAAGCCACTTACTATTTTCTTGAGAAGCTTCAGCAAAGAAGAATTAATCTTTCAAAGAGGGGCCAGGGGCTGAATGCATAATCCCCTGATGTGACACCAACCCAACAGGCCCAGATGACTTCTTCTGGCAGGTACAATCAACTGGTCATGAATATGTTCCCAAAGTATCTTCCCCACTCTATGGAAAAGAGCTAAGATCTCCCTCCTCAGGGTACCACCATTTCCTGGATTTCCCATCAGAATAACCTCCGTTATCCAACCTCTCATAACTTCCCTTTTAATAACATAGAATGCTTATGCACAAGCAAGGGAGTTAGTAGTGAACTGGATTCCAATGATTTGTTTGCTTTTTGAAATTGTGTATCTCTCATTCTAGCTCACAGACCCTCACCATTCTATTTTCCTTCCTTGTCTTTATTCCTCCAAACAATTCATGCGAACAATTCCATTTGGGACCACAACAAACAAACAATAGAAGGGGGGACTTTTTCAGGAAGGGTTCAGGTTTTAGTTATTAATTATGGGAAGCAACTTAAAATACAGGTAATACCTTAGTGGTTTTTTTCCTCCTCCAAAGCCTTAAAGATTAAGCCTTATCCCTATCCCTGTTTTAATCTAGACTGCTATGCCTGTGTTTGAAGGACTATAGCTCAGCTGGAAGTTTGGAAAACGACAACCATCAATGCCATTTTCGGCACCAGTAAGTAGGTTCAAGGTTGGGGGGTGGGGGGAGAGTCAGTAAACTGGATCCAGCATTTGGAATAGTTCTCAACAAGAAGTAGCTTCTCTCTCTAAACCTGAAGCTAAAGCTTGTTGCTACTGCTATGCAATTTCTTAAAATGAAATTATTACTTTGGGGAAATATTTAAAATATATAATCTTTATTAAAAATATTTATCTTTCTTCCAAAACCAAATAATCAGTTCCAACTGAAAAGTGTTTTTCAAATTACTGGGGACATAGAAAAAGGTGGCAAGTGGAAAAATATGTCTTTGCTACTACCGATGAGACTAGCCTTCCAAGAATATTTACTAAGCTCAAAAAGGAACTATGAAATGGCAGTAGCGGATATTTTCGCTAAGGGCTTGAGGTTACCTCCCTGTCCTTTGTAGACCATTGCTAACTTTTCTATCTTGGGCACTAATATGCCCTCCAGCAGCAGCCTTTCGAGGGTATATGTTGCTGGTGGGACACAGAACTGAAATGGTGTGAATATAAAGAGACTGATGTATGTTTTAAAAACACACATCTGCACATGTGCACACAGACACACTAGGAACACAGAACACACAGATTCAGATGAATGACACTCCCCACCAAAGTGGTCACTGAGGAGGTTCCACGTATATCTCATGACAACCACAATGCTTAAGACATCTCTGGAACTTCTATTTGGGGACTGTTTATGAGCTGTACAAGGATGACTGCTTTACAGCTGCCCCTCATTCATGCTTCTTGATAACCACTTTCTCTTAGAGAGACTTCAAATAGTTTCTAATGTCAAACTTAAAATTTTTTCCACTATGATTATTCCCAAGACTGAAGATTTACCCAGAGAAGGAAGGGGGAGTCTTCTACCAAGAAGACTCAAAACATGATATAATAAATCACTATTGACCATGATCATTGAATTACTGTTCTGGACCTTAGTTTCTGCCTTAAGAAGGGGAGGAGGTTGCAACAGATGACCAGTAAGTTTCCTTACAGTTCTGATATTTTAGGAGCCTGCATCTCTAGATATTTCTAGGCTTTCGAGCACAGTTCCAGAAAGGTTTTTTCCAATGGCAACATCATTGGAAAAACTATGCATAATCTGCTGGGGCCACTCAAGGGGACAGGATACGCTGGGATATATAAGCTTTGGAAGGTTCGTTAAAATGCCATGACTTAATAGTAACAGCTCATACATGCACAGGGAATGTCAGCCCACCTGAGAGTCCCTACAATCATATCTTAATCCCTATTCTCAATGAGCCCAGATGGGCAGAAGCACCAAGCACCACCAGGGATGCAAAAGACACATGGTGTCACCAACTATGGAAAATAAACCCCAAAGGTCCATGGGACTGAATTTACTAGCTGCATTCAGCTAGATACCTTGTTTCCATAGAATGGAGTTTCAGCGCTTGCCTGACTTCTGGCCAAACTTTTTGGATTTTAGATCAACATTGCAGATAACCCTTGGCCAAGCAGAGAGTAATAATGAAGTCCATCTGTAGTATCTACAGGGGTAGAATCCACTAGGGAAACAGAAGGTTGTAAACTGTGGGGGTGGGGACAAGTACACAGCATTTGAATATACTTTCAGTCAACCTTCTTTATCTGCCTGTGGATTTTGCACAATTCAGCTTTTCCTGGCATGCCCTTGAGTTGCAATCCACTATGGCAACCTGTTAATGTGGAAAATCCATGGGATTTGTTGTCAGGAGACCCAGTGGTCAGCTCTGCCATTCAGTAACTGTGAAAACCTAAACATCTGCACTGCAGTTTCATCATCTTAAAATGGGTCTAATGCCACTTACATGTTAGGTCTCTTGGGAAGACCAAATTAAACAATGACTATGAATGTGGTCTTTCAATTATACAGCATTAATCAAATGTTATTTTTAAACAGGGAATGTACATTAACTTTTGTAGAAACATACCTCAACTGATTTCATTAGGTATATTTAGTTGTGGCAGGGGAAGGAGGGTGGGGGGGAAACATGACAACTTATCTTTTTGGATCTGCCAAAGAAGTACTGTTCTAATTCTTTAAAAAGACAGAACTAATTTTTATCTGCAAGGCTGATTTAAAACACCGTCCTACTGAAAGAAGTCAGGAGGCCTATCACTTTGGGAAGGTACCCCCTCTTTCCTCTACCATTTTTAACTTTGACCACTGTGCTCCTGAATCTGATTCCAAGTGGGTGCTGTCAGATTTGGCCCAGAAGTCCACAGGCGTGGGTCACTTGGGAGGTGAGGAGTGCTTCTGGCCTGGGTCTCAGGGAGGCAGAGATGTAGTTCCCTTCGATACATACTACCAAGGCCCTGGAACCTCTCAGAACCACATTAGACAGTGTTTTGCCATTAAAAGAAACCGAAAGTGAGAACACTCAGCTCTTCAGGAAAAATGATCAAGTCCAAAGACCTCTTAAAAATAGGTAACACTATTCGTTAGGTGCTACTTGGCTCCCGCCATGTTGCTGGACCGTAAGAGATACTGATCCACACTTCCTTTTCGCCGACTCACAGTCCGCCTCTCGTTGTCAAACATGCGCTGCAATTGCAGAGCCAGCTGTCGGTCTTCTTCCTCCTGCTGCAGTTTCTGCTCCATCTCTCGCAGTACTGGGTCTGCTGGGGCCAGACCTACCTCACCACTGCTTTGTCGCAGTTTCTTAAGGGAGCCATTTTGTTCCAAGTGCTTAGTCTTACAGTGTCTTTTCCGGCCCCGACGCAAGGAAGGAAGTGGCTCCTCACCTCGGTTGTCTGCAAGAACACCATTAGGCAGATCAAAATGATTTACTGTCTTCAGCTGTTTCTTTGTTTTCAGGACCCCACCCAAAACACTGTTTTTGGGTAGCACTGAATTAACTGCGGAGATTTTCACCGCAGCGCTGACACAGATTTTGTCTAAGTTGGCATCTGCAGTTGACCCTGACCCTTCAAACTGTTCTCTTTCCAAAGATGTCCCACTGGCTCCCCCTTTGACTTCTGAAGAACAGCAGGTTTCCAATGGAATCTCACTGCTTCTTTTACTATCACTGCCCTGTCCTGCTTTTATTTGGCTAACAGAGGGGAAATAATCAAGGTCAGTGGGAGTGGGTCTGGTATACTCAGAGAGCAACTGCCCACTGGACAGTCTTGTATTTAAAGCCACAAGTGGTTTCTCCTTGCTAGAATGGATAACTTCAGAGACTAGTAAGTCTTCCCCTGTTTCTGGAGCCAGAGAGGTGAGAGTGGCTTTTGAAAGGGTCTTTTTGATCTGTCGCTCCTGAAAGATCTGTTCCCACTTTTTGAGGATCCTTGGACTGGCCTCATAAGAAGTCTGCTTTTGCAGGCTTCTGTTTAGGTTGCGGGGTGTTGATTTGATGATCAGGGGACTGAGCACACGGCCATCAGGAAGTCTCTTAGGAGGAGTACATGGCGAGCAAACAATAGGTTTAAAATGGTTTAACTCTTCAGAGATGCTGTCATTGCTCTCAGGGCTGATGGAGCGCTCTGGCTTGTGCAGGGAAGCCAATGATGAGAGAGAGCTGAAGGGTAGACGCTTTTCAATGGTTAAGTCAGGAGCTGAGAGGCAGCGGTTGTTCTGAGTGGATAACAGAACACCAATGATGGGGTTGGAAGCTGGGGTCATAGTTGTGACCTGAAAGAGATGAAAAGGTCATACATACATAAATATACACATATTTTCTTCATAATTCCTTCATGATGGAAGGGTAAAGTTAAGAAAATGGAAAAAAAAAAAGGGTAATATGAGCCTAAGAAATGGGGGAAGTCCCTGACCAAAAAAGCACATCATTTAGCAGAAATTCCCATATACTTGACACAATGGATAAAACTGAAAATCTGTAGAGAAAACAAAGTCATCTACAACTTATTAAAAGGTTCCTCTACTGGCCATCATTACCTCCATGTGGCTACTGATTCAAACTCTTTGCTTTTACATGTTTGTAGAATTCTCCAACAAAACTAGCATGCCCAGCACCCGGTCTATCTTTTCTCATGTTCAACGGTTTTTTTCATGGCAGAGTTGGTGAAGGGATGGCACTAGAGCACCCAAGAAGATGCCTGAGGTATACCTTGACTTTGCTCGTTGGTGCTGCTCTGAGTCTGCTTTTCGCTCTGTCCTGTGCAGTGTCACTGCAGCTCTGACTCCTCTCCACCTTGGAATTTAGATTCCTAAAAAAGAAAAAGTGAATCGTCAAAAGGAACTCATAAGCTAGCTAAGGAAAAAGAATGACAACCTCGTCCATGTTTTCAAAGCCTCCCACCAAGAAAGTCAATTCCCTTGGGCAGGAAAACAGAAAATGAGTTAATTTATTAACAAGCACATTAAAGAACAAATCCCATCAAAAGCGAAATGGTCCTCTAGAGAGGATATCTGGATTAAGCCTTTATTTCCAAACTAGACCCTGCTTAAATGAGGCTGTTTTGCTCAAGCCTGGAGAGATGCAGGGATACTTCACTCCCCTTAATAGGGTGGACACACTGTTAAATCATCTTTACAAACTTTTTTCCTTTTATGAGGCCCAAATCTCTCCTTAAGCAATCTAAATCAGTCATGAAATAAATATTTAATCACACACACACAAAATTCTGATTACAAAAATGCATAGCAGTACACTAAATTTTTATGTAGGGTGTCAAAATTAAATGTAGTTTCTCTCAATTTTTACAGTTTGGCTTCCAAAGGCCTAATCCTGGTGTTTTAAAAGATTTCAAAAACACATGATTTTTTTGTCTCACATGCATTATATTAAAACTTCATAATCCAAAACCTATCCTAGGGCCTCCCTGGTGGTACAAGGGGTAAAGATACAACCTATGAAGCTATCCGCAGCCACTGCTGCATGAGTTCGAACCCTGGCTAGGGAGCTACCCACATGGCGCAGCAGACCTCTCCTGTCTCACTCGGTGCTCTCCTCAACAGTGTATTTCAGTGAGTCTGCCTGTTCAGTTCCCTCCTCTGTCTCTGGTGGGTCCTCTCACCACCCCCCACCCCCGGACATCTGGCCTATACCCTAGTTCTTGTATGCATAAATAAATCTTTTAAAAAAAAATCCCTATCATAGTACCTATAATACAGCATTAATACGAATTATGTGTAGGTGACTGCCACCTACCCTACAGATTGTTAGTAGAGATCCTTGATTATCTCATAACTCACCTTTTTCTCCCACTCTCTTGCCTAATATAATATTTTCCTAAATATTTGTACGAATAATATTTTCCTAAATATTTGCAACTGATATTTACCCATGCTAGAATTCTATTAAACCAGCATTTATCACTCTCTTACTATGTACCAGTCACTAATAAGCATTATCTGGGCACTGGGAGTACAGAAAAGAGTGAAATATAGTCTAGGCCTTTACAGAGTTACTTCCAGTGGGGCAGACAAATGAGCAATTCAAGAAAATACAGGGAAAAGGTGTAACAAAAACAGGCATCCCTAAGAAACAAAATACAGCATAAATGAGTTTAATTACCTGGGATGGAGTGAGAGCAAAACTGGGAAAGTCTACCTGTGGCATATGTATTTTGAAAGAAAAATAGGAATTTGCCAGAAGTCAATATGGAGAAGTACCCATGCAAATGATCCTAAACAGAAATTATTTCCTTGAATGCTCTATTTAGCTTTGGAAGGGAACACATTGTATCTACTCTCTTATGCAGCTAAAAATTTTATTCTGCCAGGATTAGCTCAGAGAAAACTTACAAAGGCGGTAAAGGGGCCTCTCCATGATAGACAAGGCTATCCTACCTACTCACAATGGCTTCTATTCCACCATTTCTGAGTTATTTCCCCTATTCAAAACCCTCTCATCCTATATCTCATGACCACCACACCTAGCTAGATGGCTCCAATGTGGTGACTAATCTATGCTATGATATTAATAGCAGGCAACAGTGACCAACCTACCCCATGTCTACACAACCAAGAAAATTCAACACTGAACCTAAAAAAAAATAATAATGTGGGTGTTGTACTACCCAGCAGGAGATATATTTTGGAGCAGGTATGAAATTTCAACATTACCCTATAAAATAAAAAGAGCAGCTGCTGAGAAGTCAACTTGGTTTGTATTTTAACTAGAATAGTATTAAAATTCATTTGCATTCTCAAAATTCTCACGAACTGTCAATGGTGATAAGTCACCCAGAAGTAAACTAGGGGCAGATGAAACTGCTGTGGTGACAACAAAATACCACCTCACACCTGTGAGAATGGCCTACATTAAAAAGACTGGAAATAACACATTTTGATGAGGGCGTGGAGAGAAAAGAACCTTCATACAATTTTAGTGGGTATGTAAACTTTTACAGCCTTACTGGAAAATAGTAGGTAGAGTCCCTAGAAAACTAAAGAAAGAAATACCATATGATCCAATAATTCAGTATCCGAGTATGGAACGGAAGAATAAAAAACACCAGTTTGAAAAGATACATGCACCCCTATGTCCATGCAGCACTAATCACAATAGCCAAGACACAAACACAATGCCCATCAGTGACTGACTGGATAAAGAAGTTGTGATACAATGAACTATAGTGTGGATTATGAGTGTTTTGGTGGTGGGTGTAGTGTGGTAACAACACCTGAAGGGGGAAATCCTATACCTCTAAACCACAAACAATGCTGTAAACAAATATTACCTCAATCAAATAAATAAATTTAAAAAAAAAATTTTTTTAAAAATAAATGAAAACCAGATAACACCTCATATCCACTTGTGTCTCAGTTACTTTAAGAATATAAGGAGGGTGGGCCTCCCCGGTGGCACAGCGGTTGAGCGCTGGGTTGCAAAGCTGCCCACAGCCTCGGCAGCGCCGGTTCGATCCCCGGCTGCTCCCCGGCCACCTGAGGAGGGTCCCACATGGCGCGCAGACCTCTCCTGCCGCCCGCTGCTCCCCTCAGCAGTGTACTTCAGTCCTTCTGCCTGCTCTGCTCCCTGCTCTGGCACTGGTGAATTCTCTCACCCTCCCGCACTTCTGACTGTACCCAGTGCTTGTATAAATAAATAAATAAATCTAAAAAAAAAAAAAAAAGAATATAAGGAGGCTAATGCTAGCCTTATGGAATGAGTGAGCTGAGAAGTATTCACTTTTAATTTCTGGAAGAGTATAAGGATTCATGTTAATTCTTCTTTAAGTGTGTGGTTGAGACACCAGTGAAGCCATCTGGTTCTGGATTTTTCTTGTTGGATACTTTTTTATTATTGGTTCAACATTTTACTTGTTATAGTTCTCACTAGATTTTCTCTTTCTTTTTGAGTTAATTTAGATATTTTGTATGCTTCCAGAAATTTGTCCATTTCATTTAGATTATCTAATCTGTTAGCATAAAATTGTTCATAGTATTCTCTATAATCATTTTTATTTCTATGAGGATATAATGTCCCCACATTCATTCTGGATCTTAATAATTTGAGTATTCTCCCTTTTTTTCTTGATCAGCCTAGCTAAAGGTTTGTGAATGTTGTTCATCCTTTCAACCAAAAGAACCAACTTTTGGTTTCATTGATTTTTTTTTTTTTTAAAGATAATAGCTTCTTTTTTTTTTTTTTACAGATTTATTTATTAATACAAGCATGGGTACAGTCAGAAGCGTGGGAGGGTGAGAGAATTCACCAGAGCCAGAGCAGAGAGCAGAACAGACAGACTGACGAAACACACTGCTGAGGGGAGCAGCGGGCAGCAGGAGAGATCTGCGCACCATGTGGGACCCTTGCAGGTGGCCAGGGATCGAACAGGTGCTGCAGAGGCTGGCGGCAGCTTCGCAACCCAGCGCTTAACCGCTGCGCCACCAGGGAGGCCCCTGGTTTCATTGATTCTTTATTGTTTATCCATTTCATTTACCTTTCACTGTAATTTTTACTATTTCCTACTTTTGTTTGATTGTGAGTTTAGTTACCCTTCTAGTTCCTAAGGTAAAAGGTTAATATTTTTCTTCTTTTTTAATACAGGCTTTTGCATCAATAATTTTCCCTTTGAGCACTGCTTTTACAACATGTTTTAATATGCTGGTTTTCATTTTTAATCTCAAATTATTTTCTAATTTCTCTTCTGATTTCTTTTTTACCTCTTTGCTTTAAAAGAACGTGTTATTTAAATGTCCTCGTATTTGTGATTTTTCCCACTTTCCTTCTGTTGCTGATTTTTAACTTCATTACATTATGGTCAAAAAGATACTATGTATTAGTGCAGTATTTTTTTTAAAAATAATAAATTTTATTTTTATATTCCCCATACAATTGCAACCCCCCAGTTCTGACCCCAATCCCTCCCCTCCCGCCACCCACCCCCCCAAAAGTGTCTCTGGTTCATAGTTTTTTGTTGATTTTGATTTTCACTTTCTTATAGTTATTCATTTTCCTGGTCCCTTATTTAAGTTTTCTAGATTCCTGCTATGAGTGAGACCATCCGGTATTTTTCTTTTTCTTTTTGGCTTATTTCGCTGAGCATGATCCCTTCCAGCACCATCCATGTTGCTGCAAATTGCATGTGTTTATCTTTTTTGAATGCTGAGTAATATACTATGGTATATATGTACCACATCTTCCTGATCCAGTCATCTATTTTGGGGCATTTGGGTTGTTTCCAAAGCTCAGCTATTGTAAACAGTGCTGCTATAAACATAGGGGTGCAGGTGTTCTTTGGAATTGATGTTTCTGTGTCCTTTGGGTAAATACCTAGGAGTGGAATTGCTGGATCATATAGAAGCTCTATGTTTAGTAGGTCCAGTAATCTCCACACAGCTCTCCATTGTGGTTGGACCAGTTTGCACTCCCACCAACCAGTGTAGAAGAGTTCCTTTTTCTCCACACCCTCGCCAACATTTGTTGTTGCTAGTTTTTTTAATATGTGCCATTCTCACTGGTGTAAGATGGTATCTCATGGTAGTTTTGATTTGCATTTCCCTGATGACAAGTGATATTGAACATTTTTTCATATGCCTGTTGGCCATTTGCATTTCCTCTTCAGAGAAGTTTCTTTTTAGCTCTTCTGCCCATTTTTTGACAGGATTATTTTCTTTGTTGTTGCTGAGTCTCATCAGCTCTTTGCAGATTTTTGTGATCAGTCCTTTATCATTAGTGTTGTGTGCAAAAATGTTCTCCCAGTTGGTGGGGTTTCTCTTTGTTTTTGTTATTGTCTCTTTTGCTGTGCAGAAGCTCTTT